TCTAAATGTTGAAAAGGACTTTGTAGGTACCCTGATTAGCAGGTATAGCTTTCCCCTATTTCCAATTTTATTGGTAAATGCCTTTAGGCCTGCTTTCCAGAGTACACTAAGTATGTTGTGAAGCTGAGTAGATCTGTAGTCTGATTCATTATTTTTTTTCTCTCCCAAGAGCATTGGGATATTTGTGTTCTTGCATAGTCTTTAGTTAATGTTGGAAGGAAAGCATAACTGAACAATCGTGTTTCATAACAAGACTGAAGTATTGGAACTTGTTAAAGACTGCTGATGATTTGGTCAGTGTTTATACTAGGGTTCCTGAAATGGTTGTATTGTCTTTTCTCTAGGAAGGTGAAGAAGCACTGTTAAAATGGGGTTGGTTTGCTTCTGGAGGACATTTAGTAGAAAAGTGTACTAAAGACTGCAGTGTGGATGCAGTTGAAGATAATGTCGCATCCATCCTCTGGGAATTAATGGTTTAATATCCATTCAAGGCAGATGCATTCAAGGGTCAAGGAATGAATGAAAAAAAGGTTACAGATTCTTAATAAGTGCTGTTAATCCACATAAATGAAATTGGAGGAAAAAGAAATACCACAGCACCTGCAACTGTTTACCCTGTGCTTGGATTGTGAGTCAGGCCTGAGCCTAGTCCACTATTGTAGGAGCTAGTAGTTTTCTCTTTTTGAACATCATCCTTTTCAGGATGTTTGGTGTCAAATAGGCAGCTCAATCTTTGGCCTTTAACATATTTTGGGTATCATCTGGGCAGCATGTACACTGTGAATGTGGAAAATGCAGTTCAAAAATATCCGGGAAATGAAAGGCTTCCTGGCACATCTCTCAAATATTTTGAGCAGCATGGCAGCCTGGGTTGTCTCAGGAATTGCTGTAACATTTTCAGGCTGGGCCTCCCAAGTCTTCTCTGAGATGTGTTGTCACAACCCCTTCCTGGCTAGCAGTGAGATGACGACACTTGTATCTTCCAGGATCTTCCTTTTTTAAAAGTTCCTTTTGTTCTCCATGAAGGGGAAGTGATGTTCCTGGTGGCTGCTGGTTCTGTGTTATTCTGCTTTGAGTCAACAGCCCCTTGAAAGTAGTGCAAAAAGTTCACATTTGTCTTATTTCCAGTGCGGGACAAGCACTGCAATTTTGCATCACTATCTTAGGAGGCATGCCTGTAAATCTAGTACGAAACAATTTGAGTCATCTTAATGCTGAAGGTTCTCCTTGTAAATGAATGCAGCAGGCTCATGGGGTGATTATGAGGCTATTTAAAACAAAATTTGAATTGTCATTCTTTTAATAATCGGCAGATTACACATGGCTTTTTCGGTTTGGCTACATCCACAACAAAACTGAATCTGGTTAATGAAGAGGAAAGTGTATCTGAAAGGTTTCCTGTTATAATCTAGCCGGATAGAACCACTGGCAGCTTTGTGTGAGTAATTCACAATGTGGCTTGGAAATGGTTAAAGATCCAAAAGCTTTGACAGGGTGGAAGGCTGTGGAAATTGGCTTTTTGGGGTTACATACCTAGAAAGGAGAGGGAAGTGGGGCTTTCATGGTTGCACTGTGTGCCATGTGGTACTAAAATGTTTTCATCAGCTATTATGCAGAGTAAATGACCAAATGCCATAAAGGCACAAGATCCCTCCAGATATTGGAAGCTAAGCAAGGTACTATATTTCAGAGGAAGGAACTGGCAAAACCACCACTGAGTAGTCCTTGGCTAAGTAAGCCATATGAAATTGATGGGGTTGCAACAAGTCAACAGTGATGAAGACGTGTACACAAAGACCAGGCACTTTGGAAGCAGAGTATATCTTTGTTACCGAGAAGGCTGTATCTGCTCACAGCTTTCAAAACGGGAGGTTGCTCCTTAATTTGCTAGCTCCTTTTGCAGCTGCAACTCTGCAGGTAGCCTGTCTAGCCTTTTCACCTCCCTCCCTCCTCTATGTTCATTGTTACCACTTCCTTCTATGTCGAGGGAAGGCATGTTTCTTTAGGATACACACTGTGACATAGGAGAGAGTAAGAGAAAGGAAAAGAGAACAGCTTTTTGCGTGCCCTGAGATTTCCCAGAAGCATTTGGCTGGTTTCTGTTGCAAATTGGATGAGTGTCAGGGATTTTCTTGTGTAATTTCTTCCACTAAACATACTTGCTACTCTTGCATAAAAGAATTCATTGTGCCTGCTACTGTGTTACATTCCCTATGTCTTAGCACATTATGGGATGTCCTAGTTTGAGTCACAACGCACTTAATGATCCTGAGCATTTGCAAGTATGATGTATGTGTAAGTAATGCCTTCATAGCTGGCATCCTGTTAGTGAGATACATATGCATAAATTGTTCTACAAGTGTGGAGAATATTATTTGCCTTCGTGTAATCGGGACAGCTTTAAATACTGTAGAGACACAAGATCCTATCTAATCTAGGAAGCTAAGAAGGGTCAGCTCTTGTTAGTACTTGGATTGGAGAGCAACAAATACCAGGTGCTGTAGTCTATATTTTAGAGAAAGAAATGGGAAAAAACACCTCTGAGTATTTCTTGCCCAAGAAAGCCCTATGAAGTTCACTGGCAACTTGAAGGCACATATTCACTGACTGTGATTGAAGTGGAACATACAACACAACTGTGATCATAGTGTTGCTATTATGCATGGTGGTTACATAGCGCTGACAAACATCTCCATGTGCTGATATTTATGCTACACCGAGCTGCTGATGGATTGCATCCTCTGGGTATCTTCAGCATTTCAAAGTGTAGTCTTAATCACCTATTACCAGACCTGTCACACTCTCTCTCTCTCTCTCTTTAATGGAGATACTGAAGATTGAACTGAAGACTTTTTCTGCATTAAAAAAACTCTGATGGAGATGGTATAATTTTCATGACATAGCTTCCTAGGTACTTGCTGCAGCCCACAGTTGAGGATGGCTCTAGTCTGTGAGTCTCTGCTAGACTAGCTATTGTTAGCTTTTCAGATGGGCAGGTTTGAATTTTGCAGATTTGTTTATTCTCTAATTTCATCAAAATGTTTTCTCTGGATTCTCCCGTGTAACTCTGGTCAACCTTCTCCTGTAATCTTGTAGGAACTAGAGGTTCCTAGTGAGAACACAGTACAATTCTACGGTCAGCTGCTGTCATTTTATTTGTGGTTTATCATTTTTATGGGCCTCCCTATTTCCCTAACCATGGTGAATGTGAAAATTTGACTGTAATAACTGTGAAAATGTGCTTTTGCCATTAAATTGGCTTTGATGTAAGACATCCTTATGAATGAATCTCCAGGACACCCTGTTATTATTATTTTAATTGTCACAGAGCTAAAATTAAGTTGTTATATTAGAAAGTGGACATTTGGAAATAGAAAGCCAGTGTGGCGTATTTGAAGTGTATTTGAATTGTTAGGCTACAATTCCGAAGAAAAACTTGCCCCTTGGCCATGGCCGCTCATTGGCTGACCTTTTGCAAGTCACGCTTCAGCGGGAGACAACCCTCCTCTGAACAGATCCTACCAAGACATCCCTGTGATAGGGTTTCCATAAGTCCAAAAGGACCTGAAGGCATACAACCAGCATCACCATAATATAGGGGTGAGAGAATTAGGCTGAGCCATGGGAAATTGAGGTTTTAGTTCAGTGATCCCCAAATTTGAATCTTCTAGCTTTCTGGATTTCTTCTCCCAGAAATCTCTGCTGCTTCATCCAATGAGCAGGGATTCTGAGAACTGAAAATGTGAGTTTGGGAAACACCGTTTTAATTCCTCACTGAGCTATGAAGACTCTCCGAGGTTCCTCCTACACTGACAAATAATCCAGATTATCAAAACAGATGATCTACATTATTGGTTTTGACCTGGATTATATCAGTTAACACTAGTTGTGGTTCAACATCTGGAGAGGGGGGGGGTCACACAAGTCCCGCTCATCTAAATGGATTTATACGGCGAAACATATTCTCACAGCAAACAATTATCTGGAATTGACTAAAGTTCCTAAACTTTAGTCTTCTCATTTCCCAGAATCCCTGATAACTGGCCAAGCTGGCTGGGGCTTCTGGGAGTTGAAGTCCAAAAAACAATTATAATAATAATCAAATTTTGCGAACCATAAATTATCTGTGTGTAGAAGACCATTAAAATCCAAGGAGAGCCTTGTTTTGCCTACATATATATTTTGGATTTTAATGGTCTTCACATATATATCTTCACACACACACACACACACATATATGTGAAAAGGCAGAGGAAAGAGAGACCAGATTGCCAATATCCGCTGGATAATGGAGAAAGGCAGGGAGTTTCAGAAAAACATCTATTACTGTTTTATTGACTATTCTAAAGCCTTTGTGTGTATCATAATAAACTCTGGCAAGTTCTTGGTGGTATGGGCATACCAAGCTGCCTTGTCTCTCTCCTGACGAATGCAAGGCTGGGTTGAAAACATTAACAACCTTAGATATGCAGATGATACCACTTTGATGATCGAAAGTGAGGAGGAGCCGAGGAGCCTTCTAATCAAGGTGAAAGAAGAAAGTGCAAAAGCCGGGTTGCAGCTAAACATAAAAACCCCAAGATTATAGCAACAAGAATGATTGACAACTGGAAAATAGAGGGAGAAAACGTGGAGACAGTGACAGACTTTGTATTTCTAGGTGCAAAGATTACTGCACACACACACACACACACACACACACACACACACATATATATATATATATATATATATATGCTGATTTTTATAAATCTTCAGGACCACAGTGTTTCTCCCTGCTCTTTTCTATGATCCCATCTCATTTCCATTTTCAAAAATGGCTCCTCCTCTCAGGTAACCTGGAAACGTCCCACGCATGCGCTGTAGCCTTCTCAGGGAGGGACTAACCAGCAGCCGGGTTACAAACAGGAAGTGGCCAGTCCCGCTCTAGCTTTCCCAACCTCCGTGCCTCTATGACCTCTCCTTTTTCTTCTCCGCAGCCACAGTTGCCACGCTCGCTGGTCTTCCGCCCGCCTGACTCTGACGCCGCCGTGACGTCACTGCGTCGAGGCGGAAGAAGACAGCTGAGGAAATAACAAGAAAGCTCGGAAGGGAGAGGCTGCTGTTGGGTAAGCGGAGGGAGGGGGGACTTGAGGATTTGGGGAGCAAAGATAGAGGAATTTCAGTGTGATGGTAAAGTTTCCCCTATTTGTAGTAATCCTTCAGACCCACAAAAGAGAAAATGTAGACGTTTGTGGGATTTAATTGTAGGCTTGGCATGGGACAGTCCCCGCCCTCTTTAAAGCCCCAGATTAGTTTATCCACAGGTTGGTTGGAAACATCAAAAAGAAACATCCAAAAGCAAACTTTGGTTTGAGCGTTTTGTATTTGGGATACCATTTCATTATATTTCTGTTTACACAGTTCCCTGGCATCCATTTTGTTTATTTATTTACTATATTTATAACCCATGAGGTTTGGTAGATTTCAAATAAAGGTAGTTTCCAATTTAAAGATTTAAAGAGATTTAAAGATGGCCTCAAAGCCAACCTTAAAATCTCTGGCATAGACACTGAGAACTGGGAAGCCCTGGCCCTTGAGCACTCCAGCTGGAGGTCAGCTGTGACCAACAGTGCTGCAGATTTTGAGGAGGTACTAGTGGAGGGTGAAAGAGAGAAACGTGTCAGGAGGAAGGCGCGTCAAGCCAACCCCGACTGGGACCACTTTCCACCCGGAAACCAATGCCTTCACTGTGGGAGAAGATGCAGGTCAAGAATAGGGCTCCACAGCCACCTACGAATCCACAAGGAAACCCATCACGGAGAACCATCTTACTCGTCCAACGAGGGATCGCCTAAGTGAAGTGAAGTGAAGTTTCCAATTGCTTGGGCATTACTATTATAATAGACCTAATTACTACTGTACCCTATACCAAACATGGGCCAACTTGGGCCCTCCGGGTGTTTTGGACTTCAACTCCCACAATTCCTAACAGCCGGTACGCTGTTAGGAATTGTGGGAGTTGAAGTCCAAAACACCCGGAGGGCCCAAGTTGGCCCATGCCTGCCCTCTACTATACTATCCCACAAACTCTGTATTGACTTGATATTAATATTTAAAGCTAATTAAGACAGAAATAAACTTTATGTATCACTGTTTTATTGTAAAGCTTTGTGAATGCAGTATTATTTCTTTGATTTTCTTTTTTGCCTGTTGCTAAATTGTTCTGGTTGTCTGAGAGTCTACAAGTTAAACATGAGCCAACAATGTCACGTGGCAGCAAAAAAAAGCCAATAGGATTTTGGCCTGCATCAATAGGAGTATAGTGTCTAGATCCAGGGAAGTCATGCTACACCTCTGTTCTGCCTTGGTCAGACCACATCTTGAAGCACACTGTGTCCAATTCTGGGCACCGCAATTTAAGGGTGATGTTGACAAGCTGGAATGTGTCCAAAGAAGGGCGACTAAAACGATCAAGGGTCTGGAGAACAAGCCCTATGAGGAGCGGTTTAAAGAGCTGGACATGTTTAGCCTGAAGAAAAGAAAGCTGAGAGGACACATGATAGCCATGTGTAAATAGGTGAGGGGAAGTCATAGGGAGGAGGGAGCAGGCTTGTTTTCTGCTGCCCTGGAGACTAGGACGTGGAACAATAGCTTCAAACTACATGAAAGGAGACCTGAACACGAGGAAGAACTTCCTGACGGTGAGAGCTGTTCTCCAGTTGGACTCTCTGCCCCAGACTGTGGTGGAGGGTCCTTCTTTGGAGGCTTTTAAGCAGAGGCTGGATGGCCATCTGTCAGGGGTGCTTTGAATGTGATTTTCCTGCTTCTTGGCAGGGGGTTGGACTGGATAGCCTATGATTCTACTGTAATAGGATGTGAACATTCTCAGATTCTCAGACCAAACACCACTAAATATCAAAGGTCCACTGTATTGTGTGATATACCTCGCTTACCTAAAAGTTCCCCTGAAACTGTGGAGACCAAAATCCACTGATTGTGGTAATATGAAAATAACTAAATTAACTCAATGTATATATTACAAATACACATATCATACCTCACTTACCTGCCAGGGCTGATTATTGAAGGATTTGAGCAGATACTGGTTTTTCCAGGCCTTGGGGGAAGAGCAAGATTAAAGGGATATGAGGGCCATCTCCCTTATAGTTGTGTGTCTTCCAATTATTTCTAACTTATGGTGACCTATAGTCCTCAAACCATTGCCTTCTGAGATTGCCCCACTCCCTCACTAATACAGGCAGTCCTCAAGTTATGAACAAGATAGGTTCTGTATGTTTGTTAGTAAACTGACTATGAAGGAACAGGTACAGGTGTAATTCCAGTCACACACACACAAGCTTTGGATAGCAAAGGGAAGGTTAACATCCCCATGGTGTGTGTTTGGCTGTCTGTGCCCCTGTTCAGAAGATTTTATTTAACTTTCTGTCCCTATGATCATTGATTTTGAAAAGTTTGGCTTGTTGTGGAAAAAAGGATTGGTGATAAAGCTTCAGGGCCGGCACCTTTTCCCCATGATAACTCTTTCAGGAGTGAATTTCCTTTTTGTCGGGTAGATTTCTCTAACTTCCTGTTGTATCACACCTGTTTTTAATGATGAGTCATTTGTAATTTGGATGCTTGTAACTTGGGGACTGCCTCTATAGAGTAGTATATGTATGCATATACATCTAAGCTGCCTAGTAAATTATGGTGACCCTATGAGTTTCATGCAGCTTTCTTAGGCAAGAAACACTCAGAGGTTGTTTTCCGAGTTGCTTGCTCTGAAATATAGCCTACAGCACATGAGATTTCTTCATGGTTTCCCATCCAAATACTAACTAGGTCTGACCCTGTTTATCGTTCAAGATCAGACAGGGCTATACAATATAATATATCACTGTCGGATAATTATGTCTAATAATCTGAATAGCATTTCCTTTTTCTTTAAACTTCTCCTTTCTCTTGTAAAAGGTGACACCCCTCACTGCCTTCCTGAAAAGGGATCCCATAATATAGGTACTAGACTGTGTTGCTTAATACAATTCTTTGTGTTGCTGTAATGTGGTAAATAAATATTGTATTCATATATGGCATTGAGTTGTTGCCTTTGTAAGGTTGCTCTGAATCCCCTTCGTGGTTGAGAAGGGCAGTATATAAATGTGGTAAATAAATGAAATGCATTGTATTGAGTAGCATATCCAGGATTCCCCTGCATTCTGTTAAGGTGTTTTGAGTTACCTGCTAGATTTTATTTTGGTAATACACATGCTTAATACATATTTATATCTGTATATGCACACATAATATGCCTCACTGGCATATTATGTGTGCATATGGGTTGATGTTGGATTGCAATCTTCCTTAATATTGTATCCTGTGATTGGTCACCATTCTTTAGCATTTCAAAGTGGGGTCTTCCTCATCATCTACTACCTGAAACTTCACATTTTTAAATGGAGATATTCATTCATCCATTTGTATGCTGACTTTCTGGTAAAAATTCTGAAATAATTTAAAGGTATCAAATGTAGGGAAAAAGAAGCTACACATACCCGTTTGCATAATATAGACTAGTAGAGCTCTCTTAGGCTCTACTAGTCTAAGAGAGCTCTACTAGTTGATTGACTGCTCAGATAATAATAGATGTCTTGCTTCATTGGTGTGGTTGTTATTGATTTCCATATATGATGAAAGCAGAAGAAGCAAATTCCTAGCTATCTTAACCTTTATAACAAATGTTCCTTATGAAGCTCAGAGGTTCTTCTAACATTTACTCTGAAGGTATTTTCCTGTTAAGTGTGACAGATGGATGTCTCTGAGTTAAGCGCTTCTGTTTTCTTGACTCTCCTCTTGACAGCTGTAGGGTCGAACTTCTGCCAAAATGGATCTGTTGTTTGGACGCCGGAAAACCCCAGAGGAGATGCTGCGGCAAAATCAACGGGCACTGAATCGTGCCATGAGAGAGCTGGACCGTGAGCGACAGAAATTGGAAACACAAGAGAAAAAGATTATTGCTGACATCAAGAAGATGGCCAAACAGGGGCAGATGGTGAGCTAGGAAGGAAAGAGTGAACAGTGTCTGAACATCACTAGAGAGGGCATTTGCATCTGCATCTCCACCTCTAACCTGTTTCTTCTGTCACAGGATGCAGTAAAGATTATGGCAAAAGACCTGGTGCGGACAAGGCGTTATGTGAAGAAATTCATCATGATGCGAGCTAACATCCAAGCAGTGTCCCTCAAGATACAAACCCTTAAGTCAAACAATTCCATGGCTCAAGCAATGAAGGGTGTCACCAAAGCCATGGCCACTATGAACAGACAGGTGGGTTGGATACAAATCAGTTCAGCTAGGAAAGCACTGCAGGATCATGGAGCAAAGTCAAATTCTGTGAGCATGTTGAATTTCAGGGAGAAAATTTAACTTGGTGCTAGAGCAGAAGATTTAACTTGGTGTTTTGAATGCAGAAGATCATGTCTTCAGTTGAATTAATCTCCAGTTAGGTTGAGTAAAAAAAGTGATGATTACTAGTCAGAGTAAATACCAGGCTAAATACAGAGGGAGAAATAGTATAACTTGATATAAGCAGAATTTGAAAAAAAAAATGCATTTGTGAATTTCAGCTTCCAAAATCCTCCAGCTGGTCTGTTTTGTGGGTGGGGTGGTGGGGAGGTATTGGAAGTTATAATATAATAAATATTTATTTCCATCCTGCCCCATCTCCGCAAAAGAACTCAGGGCGGTTCACAACATGAGTAAATATTTCTATAATATATAGAAATAGATAACAAATTAATAATAAGAAAACAAAACAACATAAAGCAAATAGGCAACCGATGGACCTGCTTCAGGAGGGGGGTTGTGTGTTCTCTAGTTGTCATCCAATAAAGCAGTGTTTCCATTCACTGATTAAAATGCAGGTTATTGTGTCTGTGTGCTATAACAGGGCATTAGATTGGTAAAATGTAGTGTCTCTTAACTGGCTGATTCTTAGACCTGAATAGTCCTGTAGAGCTCACTGGTGACTGCAGTTCTTTGCTACTACCATAATTAATTGGCAAGTGAGGGGAAAGCCATTTGAATCAAACAAATATTTGGGGAGAGGATATATTCTGAGGGCGTTTAAGGTCTCTTCTGTGACATTGGTTCTTAAATTCTAGTCCTCTGGGTCTTATAGTATTCAGCTCCCAGAAGCCATGGCTGCTGGCTAAACTGTCTGCGGCTTCTGGTAGTTGAAATACAAAACTTTTAAAAGACTAAGTTAAAGACCTGTTCTGAGGTAAGCTGCTTTGGAGGTAGCTTGAGGGAACTATGTTAATATTGAAGATGGTTGGTGAATAGCTAGAGAGAAAACAGGCTTTAAGAAAAACAAAGTATAAGTATTATTTTTGAGGTTCTAAAGCAGTGGTTTCAATCTGTGGGTTCCCAGATGTTTTGGCCTTCAACTCCCAGAAATTCTAACAGCTGGTAAACTGGCTGGGATTTCTGGGAGTTGTAGGCCAAAATACTTGGGGACCCACAGGTTGAGAACCATTGTTCTAAAAGGGTGACCCCAAAAGGTTATAGTGATTTTGTTACAACACAGTTTCTGACTTATCTAAACTCTGGGGGCAGTAAACTTATTTGCTGTGAGACAGGGATAAGATTTTATGGTTTTGTTCATGTAGATTTTAACTCACAGGTGCCCCAATTAGCATTGGCACTAATCAGGAATGATGGGAGCTATGGGCCAAAATATCTGAAGGGTCAATGGTTTCCCACTCTTTTTTCTAAGGGAGTACTGACTAGGTTGGAAGTATGGATACTTCTGAGCACTTCATGCCCTGAAGCCTCTAATTTACTCACTCAGCAAAAATGACAGTCTCTTCTTGATGTCCTTTAGTGTTATAGTTATATTTCCTGGCACCACTTACACATGGATGGAAAGCAGATCTTTCTCTCCTTTCCTCTTTAATTTTCTAATGATGTGCAACCTTTGATTTTATTCAGCTCAAGTTGCCCCAGATCCAGAAGATCATGATGGAATTTGAGAAGCAGTCAGAGATCATGGACATGAAGGAGGAGATGATGAATGATGCCATTGATGATGCCATGGGAGATGAAGAAGATGAAGAGGAAAGGTATGCAGGGCAGGAAGCAGCTCTGAGAGTTGGAAACAAAGTGTACAGACAGAACATGTGTCTTGACCTTGCTTGGCTCTAGATAGCAACAGCTTCTATGATAGTATTCCTGACCTTTCCTTCAATGAAATCTGGGAATGTCACATATCCTTACTGGTATTCTTAGAAAGTAGATGTGCATGTGATGGCTTGAAGAAAAGGCGTAGAAGCTACTGTCACCATCATGATCTTGCAGTGTTCTAAAGGAGACCACAGAATGTGATTGAGACTTTCAAAAAATGGCATTTTTTGTCCTAAATAGATCTCAGAATAATACACTCATAGATACCATATTAATGTGAAAAGTGTGTCAATTTCTTATGCACAAATATGTATTATAGTCCTGCAACTTCAGACAAAATTGTGTATTTATAGAGCAGTAAACAAATGCATAGGATATGGACGTTCTTAATGCTGGGAAGAGGAATTGGGAATAAGATTTCAATAAATCTGTTCATGTCAGGTATATACAGTTAGCCCTCCACATTCGCTGTGGTTAGGTGCACTCAGTACCCACAAAAATGAAAAAACAAAAATCATAAATGCAAAAACACTTTTTTAAAAACCTGAGGGAATACCTCTCTAGGAATCTCTTGGTTCTGTGCTGGGAATTGATGATAGAATCACACTGGAGTACCTAGATATTCCTAGGGAGGTCTTCCGTCTTGGAATTTTGGTCATCCAGTGTGAGTCTCTGGTGCACTTCCTGTGGGGCTGGATCATAAAGTTGTATGACAGGACCTAGAGATTCTTAGAGAAAATATTTTAATTAAATCTGTAAAAGTCAGATCTGCAAATGTGGAGTGTCAACTGTTCTGCAGATGTACATTCTTCCCATATCTCAAGTCAGGAGCCCTGGATGAGGGGATGGAGGGTGGAATGGGCAGGATGTATAGACAGTTGAACCTTTTTTGGGTTGGATCTTATACTCTTTGCTTCTTTTCACAGCGATGCTGTTGTATCCCAGGTGCTGGATGAGCTAGGCTTGACGTTGACTGATGAGTTGTCAAGTGAGTATAAGGACATTGTAGCTATTAAAAATAAGAAGATTGGCATGACAATGGCTAAAGGCCACAATCTATGTGAATTTTATGAAATAATGCCGATTCCTGACGGGGAAGGGGATGCTAATTATTAGTGGAGTATCAAAGTGAATATTCGGGACAAATGGAGAATAGTTGTTCAGTTCTGTGTGTTGATTAGAATCTTCTTCTCTTCAGTAAGGAGGAAAATGTTGACTTAGACTCCTTCTACACTGTCCTGATTTGAACTGGATTATATGAGTCTCCACTGCCATATAATCTGGGATAAATCTGGAATCAGATCCTGGGATATAAGGATAGTGTGGAAGGGGCCTTAGATAAAAGGAGAAATGTGTGACCCATAGATAATTTGGCCCCACTCGGCTCTGGTCCCTGAAGGAGAGAAAAGCAGCCAGAATATGCTGGTCTTAATCCCTTCCTCTGCTGCCATCTTTTGGTATGTCTTATATTTTTAGATTGTAAATGTGGGAACAGGAAACTGTTAAATTAAAACATTGTAAGCTGCTCTGAAAAGCTTTTTTGGCTGAAGGACTGGATATAAATATTCTAAATACATAAAATAAATGGGTTGCCCTGAGGATCCAATTTTGCTGCCCCCACAGTCTCCCAAAGACCCAAACCCCTCCCCTCCCCTTGTATTCTTTTAAATCTATTAATGTATTTCACGTATTGGGCAAAAGAATTGATTGAAATAAGAATTGATTTGTAACCAAGTACTTCTGCATATATGTGATATTCACACAAGCAGGATTGCCACAGTTTGGCTTGCAGGTGCAGGTTGTGCGAAATTTGACTTCCTTTTCTAATATGAGAATTCCAACCTTTTTGGGTACCTCCAAAAGAATGGTAATCCAGTATTAAAGTAATAGAGTTGGTTGAGCATTGTATGGGTGGGGCAGGCCTCACAAATGTTCTTTAACAAGGAAAATGATTTTCAAAGGGAATATGGTCAAGAATGAGATAAAAGGTATACATTGCTGTGAGTTTTCCAGGCTGTATGGCCGTGTTCCAGAAGTATTCTCCTGATGTTTCACTCATATGTATGGCAGGCACCCTCAGAGTTTGTGAGGTATATTGGAAACTAGACGAGGAAGGTTTATATATCTATGGCCCAGGGTGGGAGAAAAAAACTCTTGTTTGTTGGAGGCAAATGTGAATGCAATTAATCACCTTGATTAGCATTGCAAAGCCTTGCAGCTTCAAGGCCTGGCTGATTTCTGCCTGAGGGAATCCATTCTTGGGAGGTGTTAGCTGGCCCTGATTGTTTCGTGTCTGGAATTCCCCTGTTTTCAGAGTGTTGTTCTTTATTTACTGTCCTAATATTAGAGTTTTTTAAAAAATGCCAGTGACCAGATTTTGTTCATTTTTATGGTTTCCTCCTTTCTGTTGACATTGTCCACATGCTTGTGGATTTCAGTGGCTTCTCTGTGTAGTCTAACATAGTGGTTGATAGAGTGGTACAGGATTTTTGTGTTCTGAAATAATATGTTGTGTCCAGGTTGGTTCATTAAGTTCTCTGCTATGGCTGACTTCCCAAGTTTGTTTGTTTGTTTGTTTGTTTGCTGTATTTGTTTACCACCCTTCCCAGTCCTCAGGCGACTCAGGGTGGTTGAATCATTCTGTCGTGCCTTTTATATTCCTTGATTTGTATTTGGGCAATGCTGCAGTTGGTGGTCCCTATGTAGACTTGTCTACAGCTGCACGCTATATGGTAGACTCCTGCAGAGGTGAGAGGATCCCTCTTGTCCTTTGCTGAACGTAGCATTTGTTGGATTTTCTTAGTGTATAAAAGGTTATTTATTGCGTACATGTGCTTTGTCTGTAGCTTAGTTTGTCATGAAGATCAAATTGCTCCATTTCCTGAGTATAACAGTGTGCCGAGTGCTGAGAATGTAGAGAAAACTTGGCAGGAGAGGGCAGAACGGCATTGGCTCGACTTCTGACTTCCATCTCCTTCCTTTGCAGATCTGCCTTCAACTGGCGGTTCTCTGAGTGTGGCAGGAGCAAAGAAAGCCGAGAGCCAGGCAGCTCTTGCCGATGCTGACGCAGATTTGGAGGAGCGACTAAAGAACCTGCGGCGGGACTAAAAGCGAAGAAACCCAGCTCTCCCCTCTCCAGCGTGGTCTGGGCCTGAAGATCCTCCTGACTTTAGGACAACCTCTGCCGTGTCAAAGGGGTAGAGCTGTGCACACTTGTGGGGAGTTGCTGTGGGCAGAATGAGGGGTTTGTTTAAATGGAACTGTGTACCGCTTTAACTCCTCCTTTTCCTTTTATAAGGACTTTCGGCATCACCTGGTGAGGTTGTCGGGGTTAAGGGTTTTTCTTTTTTTCATTTCCTGTTCCTTGTAAATGGCTCCTTTCCACAAACTTGAGTGGATTGGAGATTCGTCTAAGTTCTCTTCTAAATGGAGGATGACATAATCTAATGTAATCACTACCCAGTCCTCAATGTTCTTCTGGCACCGATGGTCGGGGAGGAATGGAGAGGAGAACGAGAGCACCTTGGCTGTTTACCACCTGGAATGGTGGCAAGAGCCTTTTCCAGCACTTTCTTGGCTTATAGCTTTATATACAGCTCTGCCCCCTGGAAGCGGGTCGGCCTCGCCATTGTGTCCATCTGCCTCTTGTAATAAAGGTTGTAGATTTGTATTGGAAATGTCTACAGAGTTTGCTTTTGCTGCCATGATGGAATGTCAAAGCCATGCAGTGCTAGCTATCTTTGACTAGAGTGTCTTGGCACAGCTCTTGGTTGTTTTCAGCTGTGCAATCTGTGACCTTTGAAGCAGGACATATATCCTATTGAGATTGTGTAGCATGCTAGGAAATAGTGGATACCTCCAGTATCACTGCCTTGAAATTCATGAAAGGGATAACATGGGTTGAAGTGTAAAGGTAAAGGTTTTCCCCTGACATTAAGTCTAGTCGTGTCCAACTCTGGGGGTTGGTGCTCATCTTCCATTTCTAAGCTGAAGAGCTACCGTTGTCTGTAGACACCTCCAAGGTCATGTGGCCAGCATGACTACATGGAGTCCTTTTACCTTCATTACCTTCCTGCCAAAGCAATACCTATGGATCTACTCACATATGCATGTTTTTGAACTGCTAGGTCGGCAGAAGCTGGGGCTAACAGCAGGAGCTCACCGTGCTTTCCGGATTCAAACCACTAATCTTTCGGTCAACCCAGGAACCGGGGGTTCCTGGGTTGAAGTGCAGCACACATCTATTGCTTACAGCTGAGGCAAGGGAGTTTTTGGGAGACATTTCTACTCTTTACCTTGGAAGACTTGTGCGAACAAGCATCTCCGGATTTGTATGTGTGTCCACAATGTCCTGCCTCATGCATAGAGAAAGAATTGTTTAAACTACAGACAGTGAGATTGCTGTTGCCTGGTTTGGGCCAAAAATTATTTAACCACTTGTGTTCCCTCTATTTTTCCCAGTTTTATACTTATTTGCACAATGCTTTTGACACAAAACAAACCTTAGAAGACTAAAAGAAGAACCAGATATTTTTTTTAAATTGCAGTTGGAGAGAATCATGCAGAACCTGAACCTCATGGAAATTTTAGAATAAGCCATAGGAGCCCCTGGTTGCACAGCGGGTTAATCCGCTGAGCTGCTGAACATGCTGACTGAAAGATTGGCGGTTCGAATCCGGAAAGCAGGCTGAGCTTCTGCTGTTACCCCCAGCTTCTGCCAACCTAGCAGTTCGAAAACATGCAAATGTGAGTAGATCAATAGGTACAGCTTTTGTGGGAAGGTAATGGCACTCCATGCAATCATGCCAGCCACATGATCTTGGAGGTGTCTACGGGCAATGCCGGCTCTTTGGCTGAGAAATGGAGATGAGCACCAACCCCCAGAGTAGGACACGACTAGACTTAATGTCAGGGGAAAACCTTTACCTAACCTATGGAGACATGGAGATCAGTGTGGATCAGATTTAGGATATCTGCTAGCATACTGAACTAGTGTGTTAGCAGGCCGATTGCACTATGTGTGAGATGAACAAGCAACCATCTCATGTCAGTTCAGATGTCATGTTAAACAAACTGGTTTGTTAGTCATTCCTGCTGGCTTGTACACTGTCAGCCGAAATCCTTCATAACTCTGATGTGTGAATGAGTCCAGTGAATGAGACCAGTATAGAAAGATAATCATAGATTAGATTCATTTTGGAAAACTGATGGTCTACAAGGTTTGAAGACAAATTGGTTCATTCATTCTTCTGGTTTCCTCTATTTTGTTTGCACAGCTACTTATGTGACTTTTGCAGGCTAACCTGGACTGTTGTATCTCTGTGACTGATTCATAGAGACCGTAGTTCTCTCTTCTCTCTCTCTGATTTGTAGCGTTTTGGTGCTTGCTGCCCAATAGAAAAAATTGAAAAAGTTCTTCAGATATCTGAATGCAAAATACCTTTTGGAAGTAAAGTGCTCATGCTTGGTTTCCCAGCGGTTATATGAAAATGTCGACTGACCTGTCACAAGGCTGGCCCAGAGGACAGTTTATTTATGCATAAAGCATTTTTGGCAACTTTTCTTTTAAATATTGCTATATAAATGAAGACACACAAACAGATACAACAAAAGTTGGATTAAGCAAGGTTCTGGGTGTGGATCTGTGGCGTGTTATGAGCACTGGGATGGTGTAGTAGGAAACAGCAACTCGGTAACTAATACAGGTCCAGCCTGAATAAAACACAAGGTCTTTATTACACTTGGGAACACTTGCTCCCATACCTTCAGGTACAGTTGTCTATAGTCCTGGGCAGAATCCGCCCTGGATCTTTGCTCCTGGAGAGCCACGGAGTGCTGTGAGAAACCCCGAGACTTGGCCGGATAGGATCTTCATTGACTTGGTAGCTGTAAGTAAAAGAAACCACAGGATGATGATGCTGTGTTTCCCCCCATTTCCCAGTGATCTTGTCTGCAGCCCCCTTCTCTTCTGCCACTATAATGTCCACATTTGTTTCGTTCATTTCATGATACAGGTTGAGCACCCCTTATCATAAAACAGTCATTCTCAACCTGTGGGTCCCCAGATGTTTTGGCCTTCAACTCCCAGAAATCCTAACAGCTGGTAAACTGGTTGGGAATTCTGTGAGTTGTAGACCAAAACACCTGAGGACCCACAGGTTGAGAACCACTGTCCTAAAGCTATCATACTCTAAAATTGTCCATATGGGTGGCTGAGATAGTGACATGTTTTCTTTCTGAGGCTTGATGTACACACATTTTGTTTCATGCACAACATCTATCTATATAAATAAAAATGTCATGTTGGTTTGTGGGATTAACATAACTCAAAAACCACTGGACGAATTGACACCAAATTTGGACACAATACGCCTATCAGGCCAACGAGTGACCATCACTCATAAAACACTGAAAAACACAGTAGAAGAGACTTCAAAAGCCAAAAAGGAAAAAAATACATTACAACGCATGCGCAAAAACACATGTGTATATACACAAACACACATATACACAAATATATACACACTCATATACACACACAAAACACATATACACAGACTGGGACACAGCAATGTGTGGCAGTGAATGGCTAGTACTGAATAAAACTGTCAGGTTATGTGTACTGTATAAGTTGTGCATGAAACATAAAATTTGTGTTTAGTTTTGAGTCCTAGCTCCAAGATATCTCATTGTGTACATATATGCAAATATAAAAATTCCAAAATCTAAACAAACTGAAAACATTTCTTGTGACAAGCAGTTCAGTTAAGGGATCCTCCACCCCTAATCTCACTCTATTCTTCACTAGGAACTCAAGAGATGGAAGGTAAATATTGTGATCCCCCTCACTTGTAGTATCCTTGTACTGTGTGCTATTTTCCTTTGTCAACAACTATAGTGTCCTTCTCTGAATGAGTCAACAATGAAGGGCTAAGGCCGTGTTGCTGCTATTTGTTCCTCTGGGGAGATGAAAGCTAAGTAGCTCTGTGTCCTTCGAGGATGGTCAAGTTATTGCCTCCTTCCCTTTTCTGGTTTGCCTGTAGGTCTTCATACTAGCTGAGTTCCAAAGATATTCAACTCCTTCCTAGGCCCAGCACCTGGCTCTGTATAACACTTCAGCGGTTAGTATAGTCTCACATTCACTTACCGAGGGGCTAGTTGCTAGATCTGGGTGAGCCATGCCCAGTGCTCTCAGACAAGAATGGTATGCCTCCAGCAGCTCCTTGCATGCCTCTTCCCCCTTTTCTTTAACACTGCAGAGATAAATGGAAACAATTGAGGTATTTAAAAGCAACTACAACACCCCTGCCTTGTATCTTAAACATTAAGTCTGTGGGGCATTAGCATAAAACCTCCAAGCATTTTATTACTTGGAGCAATGTTGTGGTGTCCTCCACAAGCTCCAGAACCGAATGAGATTTCTCTTTCTATTGGGTTACTTGGGTATTTATTAGCTTGATACAATGCCTGCCTACAAAAAAGTGGCACTGTAGACTTAATTGTCATAAAAGGTAAAGATAAAGATTTCCTCTTGACATTAAGTCTAGTTGTGTCCCACTCTGGGGGTTGGTGCTCATCTTCATTTCTAAGCCGAAGAGCTGGAGTTGTGTGTAGACACCTCCAAGGTCATGCGGCTGGCATGATTGCATGGAGTGCCATTACCTTCATGCAAAAGCTGTACCAACTGATCTACTCACATTTGCATGTTTTCGAACTGCTAGGTTGGCAGAAGCTGGGGTTAACAGCGGGAGCTCACCCTGCTCCCCGGATTCGAACCACTGACCTTTTGGTCAGGAAGTTCAGCAGCTCAGCAGCTTAAGCCTCTGCACCACCGGGGGCTCCTTAATTGTCATAAATAATTTAAATGTAAGTAAAATCTCAGGTGAAATTCTTAGTACAGAGAGCAGCAGTCATCTAGTAAAAACATCCAAGAGCAACCAGCTTGATTGTCAAAAGCCAGCCTGTATAGCAGAATGGTTGACCCACCAAGGCTGTATATATCTCTTTGCCACATCCTGTTCTGTTCTAGGCATAGTGCTATTATGAAGAGATCAGTTCTTTTTGGAAAGGATGGTTCTGCTTTTGGAGCCTTTCTGGCAGTTTCAGTGAACCAGGATTTGCAAGGAGGTGGTCAAGACGCACATAGAATGCCACACTTTGGGCAAGAGAACACCTCCTCTTACTAGAAATCCAGTAAAGTCCAAATTAAAACCAAAACACATGGAGGCAGATATTTAAATATTGTTAATTTTTTTTCTCTGATGAAAAGTCTGGGAGTTAGCAGCACTGACGCAGATCAATGTCCCTCTGGATCAGCAATGTTGGTTACAGATGAGCAGCAATTACTTTGAGTCACAAGGAATTTGGGACCTCTTTTCTGCCACTAGGTATCAATTTGGGTGCTTCCATTGGGGAGAGATACCAATTTTTTCTGAGGCATGGGAGAGACTTTTGCTCAAGTATTTGGACCTTTGTCAATTGTTGCTGTTCAAAGGAATGAGCAGTAGGTGGTAGCAGAGGACCAAAAATACCATCATGTGCTTCTGAAAGCTTGCTAGAGATGTCATGCATTCTGAATGATTGCTCCCAATGAAGGATTCAGATCTTTATTTACCATGCAGTAACGTCCTGGAACATTTTGTTTGCTCAGCAATTGTTAACAAAGTTCCAGGGAACCTTTCCTAGATATTTTTGAAAGTTGTTAGTTTTAAATGTATCTAATTATAAAGGCAATGCACTGTTTGTGTGTGCTAGAGACAACCAGCATACACAAACCAAGACTGTGGTGGTTAGGTCTGCAAGCCAGAGATAAGAGCAACAATGGAAGTATTAATGGAAAGGCTGTTTATGAAATGTAACCATAGTTGAAAAGTCCAGCTAGAGCAGATGTAAGAATCATAGCGGCTCCTAGATGTATTGAATAGAATTCCCAGCATTTCTCATCATTTAGCTACACTGGCTAGGCTCCTGGTGTTTGCAGTTCAACAACATCTGGATGGCTCCATGATTCCCCATCCTTGTGTTTAATAATAATAATGATAATAATAATAATAATAATAATAATAATAATAATAATAATAATATATTTTATTTGTTACCTGCCTCTCGTAATGGCTCAAGGCGGGATACAACAAAATCATAACATATCAACATAAAATACAATAATATACATATTATTATAACAAACATACATCACACACAGGATACAAAGATCATCAGACAGTGGCAATAGAAAATGCAAATCCAAAACTCTTAATTGATTGGGTAGGCCTGCCGGAAGAGATGAGTCTTCCATTGGGTCTTAAATTCTGATGGATCTTTTCCAGTTGGTCATTCCACAGTCGTGTTGAAAAGGTCCTCTGGGTGACAGTCACCAGTTGGGTTCTGGCTGATTGGAGTAAGTATCTCCCAGAGAATCTCAGTGTCCTAAGGGACGGATTGTGCAGGAGAAGGCGATCCTGTAGGTAACCTGGACCCAAACCATCTAGGACTTTTGATATATTTGGTCACTTGCTCAGAATCAGACCTACATAACTTGTGGCCCTCCAGATGTTTTGGGCTTCGGTTCCCAGAATTCCTGACCATTGGACAAGCTGGCTAGGGGCTTCTGGGAGTTGGAGGCCCAAACGTCTGGAGAGCCACAAGTTGAGCAGAATGATTAAAGGCAAAAAGTACAAATGTGACCCTTTTAGGTTCCAGAGAATAAATGGGGTCCCAGGAATCATCCGGGGAGGGCCTGCTCTCGGTCCCACCGTCATCGCAGTTGTGTTTGGTGGGGATGGGAGACAGGGCCTTCTCCGTGATAGCCCCTCGGCTGTGGAATTCCCTCCTTGAGAAGGTTAGATCTGTCCCCTCCCTCTTGACCTCCCGGAAGAAACGTAAATCTTGGTTTTGGGAGTAAGCGTTTGCAGATTAGATTGATTTTACTGGCAATGATGCGATTTTATTGGACCGCAATTTGGATGGATTTGGATGATATTTTAATAATAATAATATAATAAACCTTTATTTGTACCCCGCTACCATCTCCTGCAGGACTCGGTGCGGCTTACAAGAGGCCAAGTCCAAAGAACCCGGAGAACTGTTTTAATGTATATTGATATTTATTTTTTAGGCATTTGATTGTATTTTATGATGTGTTTTATTGTTTCGGCATCGAGCTATTGCCTGTTGATAGCCGTCCTGAGTCCCTCCTTAGAGGTCGAGAAAGGACAGGATATAAATGTTCCAAATAAATAAATATTGCATACTCTTATGAAAACCAGGCATATGTGCAAATGTATATGTACATTGTCTTCACATATCCTCCAACATTTCACAGGTGAAAACAGGGATATGAGTGACCCAACGCCTGCATTGTTGGAAATGACAATTTTTAACAAGCCTTCTCTAGCAATCTGTTTGTTTATGATCTTGTTGCATACTGTTTTCTGTATGTATGTTCTGATATGCAGCTTCTTTTAATCTATGTTTTCGGAGAAATTATAAAAGGAGCTGCAGACCACATGCACTCTTTCTCTCTCCTTTTGACTGTGTGACCGGTTGATAGTTGTATTTGCTACAAGAGAAAGGGAACTATCTCAAACATATCTGAAACTGGACTGATAAGTTTTGTACCTGTATATACTGAACACATGAAGATTGTGAGTAAACCAAATACGTTATCTTTTTTTTCAAAGTCTACTTCATTTTTGCCTTTTGAGTGTAAGTTGTTTTATGGGAGAATATATATTTTTAGGCAACTGAAGCTCTGCTGTTTTTCTGCACTGGCAAATCTCTGTTTTCCTAACAGATCAGAGATAACAGGTCATTCAGTCTAACAACTGAAACCATTGCCTTGCATAGTTACATCTGGTTATATACCACAAGAGGAGATTCTACTCAAAAGGTTTTTTTGGCTCTTCTCTGAAAGGTCATGCTTTTCTAAAAAGTTATGATCTCCAAAAGGTGTCTTTTCCAAAAGATTATTAATGCAATTTTCCAAAATGCATGGTATGGTCAAAATAGAAATAGTTGTTAGTGAGGAATAATGCAAAACTAAGAGATGCTGCAGCAGTTTGCATTTGTTTGGTCCTACATAAAGGGCAAGATTCTGCTCTTTCCTGTTCTATCTACCCTTGTGAGTCAATATACACTTTGAATTCAGTTTGCAGCAGTTAAGTAAGCAGAGGGCAAAGGGAAACAGAGTGTTAATCAGGACCATTCCTACTAAATCAGGACTGCAGAGGGTATGTTTCAGGACAGGAAGAGTTCAGCTAGAGGCCAAAGAACCTTAAGACAGTCATCTCACGGATAGATGCTTGATCTGCAGCAATGAGGACCAATGCCAGGATTGTATTACCTTTGAGTAAAAGAAACACTTGCTGATTTCTGCAATCAGAGCATCTGTTAAAGATACAGAACCTGAAGATTGAGCTGGACTCTTTTCTTCACCACTTGAATCATCCTAGAAAAGCCTTCCCAAGCTGACAACCTCCAAATGTGATTGAATGATCCTCAGTCAGTATGGCAGTGGTCCGGGAAGCACATCTCGAGGGCACCAGGTTAGGGAGGGCTTGCCTTAGCAGTTGATGTTCTGTACCCTTTTGGAGCTTAAAGGGATTAGCAAAGATAGTTTCACTTTCTTCTAGAGCAATTGTAGTACTCCACTATAATTCTAGTATCGCCATGTCTCATACTCCCTGGTAAGTACATTACACTTAATCTCCTTTAGCTCGTGTAGCCTCCTTTGGAGACTGGTTCCACCCAAAGGTGTTCTTTTTAAGGCCTAGTGACCCTGATAAAGCACAGCACACGTAAATTCTTCTTGTGTTCTGTCGCGCGCTGGGCCTGTATTTGGTTGACTTTAGAAATAGGATGTGTAACCTTTGCCCAGCAGGAAGCCAGGGGCCCAAGGAGAAGTTCTCAGAGGTTTCCACTACAAAGAATCTTCAAATGGCTTGAGAGGTACAACAAAGTCTTTTATTAATGAAATCAAACAGGTACTTCAAAGCTTTCTCGATAAACCATTGGCTCCCTCAATCTTGTCCACAGGGGACAGGCACTGTCTTCAATAACATTTTCTTTAAAGGAAAATTCCCCTTTTTAACTTCTCCTAGGCTTACTGAAATCCAACCCTCACTGATGTGGGCTCCGCTACTGGGCCGAACTGCTTCTCGGACGCCGAGTGGACCTACCAGCAAGGCAGTGGATATTCTCCAGCTGGAGTTCTTTAGTCTTTAAGGCTGTTTTCCTGGAAATTCTTAAAGCTGTA